TGACCCCCCCCCCATTAACGAGGGACCAGGACCCCCAGCCTGACCCCAAAATAAAGGCAGGACCCCCCATTAAAGGGGGATCAGGACCCCGAACTTGACCTCAAAATAAAGGCAGGACCCCCCCCATTAAAGGGGGATCAGGACCCCCAACTTGACCCCAAATAAAAGGCAGACCCCCCCCCTATTAAAGGGGGACCAGGACCCCCAGCCTGACCCCAAAATAAAGGCAGGACCCCCCATTAAAGGGGGATCAGGACCCCGAACTTGACCTCAAAATAAAGGCAGGACCCCCCCCCCCCATAAACGGGGATCAGGACCCTCAACTTGACCCCAAAATAGAGGCAGGACCCCCTCAGCACTCCTCTTTAAAGGGGGACCGGGACCCCCAGCCTGGCCCCAAATAAAAGGCAGGACCCTCCCCCATTAATGGAGGACCAGGACCCCCAACGTGACCTCAAAATAAAGGCAGGACCCCCCCCCCCATTAAAGGGGGATCAGGACCCCCAGCCTGCCCCAAATGTCAGGCAGGACCCCCCCCCATTAAAAGGGGACTGGGACCCCCAGCCTGACCCCAAATAAAAGGCAGGACCCGCTCAGCACCCCCCATTAAAGGGCACCCCCCAATACTTCCTAAACCTCCCGCCAACCCCACACCCAGGCCAGGGACCCCCAAACACCCCCCCGCCAGCCCCATCCCGGGGGTCCCGCCCCCCCATCCCGGGGGTCCCGCCCATCCCTGCCCCCCTCCAGGTGTGTGGGGGGTGGGGTCTCACCTGGCTCCTCTCTCTCCTCGCGTCCCCTCGTGCCAGGCCGTGCCTACCGGCCCCGGTGCTCCATGGCCCCCCCGCCCCGCCGGGGGGGCCAATTAGCAGCGTGGCTAATGAGCCCCCCCTCATTAGCAGCGCCTCGTTAGTGACCCCCCCCTGCCGCACCCGGGACCTTCGTGCCCCCCCAGGGACCCCCTTGCGTCAGCCTCGGCCTCGGGGGGAGGGGGCAGGTGACACCCCCAGGAGGGGACACGGGTGACACCTCCCGTGACCCCCTCGTGAGCCCTGGAGGGGGCTTGGGGGGTTTTTGGGGAGCCCACGGGGGTCCCACGGAGATGGGGGGAGGGGAGGTCACTGATCCTGCC